CACAGAAAAGGCGTGCCGAGCGGAGTGGCCGCCGAATACCTGGCTCCGCATTGGAGAGCGGTTTTTTTATTTTCGGCGATGACGAGCGTCATGGGGGGGGGCTTGGGGGATATGACGTAACGCCCCCCTCCGCCGTGCGGCTCCGGCACCACAGCCACGCCCGCGCGCGCGACGACGATGATCGACAAGGGACGATCGACGAGCGACGACGACGGCGACGACGACGACGACGACGCGAGCAGCATGTAGGTGGCGATCTGCCCCGCAGCGCCTGTGTACACCACGGGGGTCGCGTGCACCACATCGCGCGTGTACAGCACAACACCACAGCGCCTGCGTACACCGCAACAGGACGGGCGGACGGACGGACGGACAGACGGACGCGCGAATCGTCCCCAGGGGAGAGACGGGGCGACTGAGCGGCCTGCGCGGTGACGCCGTAGCCTCTCAGTGTCGTTCTGGACCGCCTAGCCTGGAACAGCGAATCCTTGAGCATTCCTCAGCCCAGCTCTGAACACAAACAGCGGCCGCCTCGTAGCACGACTTGCCGAGGAAAAGATATGAAACAAACTGCCAACGCAACGAGCGCCTCACGCAATACGTCAACAACAATATCAGCCAGCGCTGACTCCAAATAGATTAGACGACCCAAATCAAGGAATAAGAGGAATTAAACATGATTGGGTTCCGCAACTCAACAAGCATGCAAGCACACAAGAAAGCAAGCAAGCAAGCAGACAAGCAAGCGTGCAAGCAAGCAAGCAAGGGTGCAAGCAAGCAAGCAAGCAAGCACGCAAGCAAGCAAGCATTGGAAACAGGCATAAGCATAGGCATAGGCACAGGAGCGCTCAGAGGTGGTGCATAGGCATAAGCATAAGCATAGGAGTTAGAGGAAAGGCATAGGCGTAGGCATAGGAGTTAGAGGAAATGCATGGGCGTAGGCATAGGCATAGCATTAGGAATTAGGGGGGGGCATGGGAAGTAGGGGAGGCAACGAACCAATGAGTAAGGTTTGAGCTGTAACACCTACAGGGCAAACCAATTTGGATATTATATTGCTTATATCGGAATTGAAACAAAAACAACTCGCATGATCCTCAGAAATGCATGGGAAAGGCGTAAAGGATCACCAGTACCGCCACGAATCGGGCTGCAGATTATTCGTCAGATGCCATATTGGTGCAAATCGCCGCACTCCTTCTCGAACTCTCCTCTTAGGTAAAACTCGCAGTCGGTGCTCGGGGGCATAACCGCAGGATGAGTTCGCAAGCTCTCAAATAATCATACGCGTTTGCGCTGGGGTCCTTTGCGTGATACCGATTCACTCGGGATTCGACAATTTCTGCGACCTCCGAACAGTACATGGCCAACGTGCGCGTCGCACGACGTACGTGCACAATTCAATTAACTTCTCGGGCCCCTTTCCTTTTGATTACATCACCAACTTCAGACTGGTCACAGTCTTCTGATCCAGAACTGTTTCCCATCAGGGGCTCGAACTTGGCCTCACCAGGAGAATGATATGCTTTTCTGGTCCTATTTGCTGCTGTGCGGAAGAATAGCTCGTTCAACACATCATCAACGGGTGGCACCACTGGCGGGTGAGATGTCACCAATATCGTTTCCAAGCTGTTTAACCGTGCATTTTCTTGAGCGTCAAATTCGGATACCGTATTTGTAAAAACCGGGCTTGGACTGCGAGAGTTCGTCAACTGTGATGAGTATGTCACCGGATCCACCGTATGCTTGTCTCTCATCTCATCGATGTTGCGAAATATCGTGTCAATGCGTGTTTGAAAACCTCTGATGCTCGAAAACAGAATATGCTGCGATACGTTGACGTCGTGCACCGCCGAGTGCATTTGACCCATCGACTGCTGCATACTCTCGTACGCGCGCATGTTGGCATCGGCCTTCTTCTCCAGGTCGGTCAATGTGCTGTAAGTGTTGTCGGCCATTCTCCTTCGTTCCCGACGTCGTTGTGCATCGGATTCGGGTTCTCACTGACGTTGTCCTTATTTTTCGAAGGCTGACTCTTCGGTCCGGTTGCACGCTATCGCGACATGGCAGGTCCTCGTTCTCCTCCTCCTCGTCCCCGTCCTCCTCCTCTTCCTCCTCCTCCGCCTCCTCCTCCATCACCCTTCCCCCGTGTCGTGCGGGTCGGCGCTACAACGCACGTGCGCATCTCAACGTGCACCGCACAATGGTTCAGTGAATCAGTCAACTTGGTTCTCGGGCGGCCAATTTTGCTGGAGCCTCCTGGACGCAGAGAAGGAATATTTAGGATGGTGCGGGCGGACTCGGAGGGAGTCGTAGATTCCAGCGGTGCTTTTCCCATGATGAGTTCGTTCCAAGTCCGATGGAACAAGTATTTCCTGTGGAATCCTGAGGCACCCCATTATGTCATATTCCTTTTGAAAAATTCTATATGCAACAGTGGTGCTATGTTGCACACTGTTGCTCTGGTACACACAGGCGCCGTGGTGCACACAGGCGCTGTAGTGCACGCAAGTATTGTGGTGCACGCTGGTGTTGTGTTGCACGCGGCTGGCGCTGCGGTGCACGCAGGCACTGTGGTGTACACAAACGCTGTGGTGCAGATCGCCACCTACATGCTGTTGCTACCCGTCCTCGGTCATTCCTGGGCATTCCCAGGCGCCGCCGTCGCGAAACGTGACGTCATCGGCCCCCTCCACCCCCACCTGCCCCAAATGATTGCCGTCACAGGCCCAGAAGAAGATAGAAAAAAAAGGCTCCAGCCGCGCGTCCGCGCGCACGACGACGATGAGCGACGAGCGACGAGCGACGAGCCACGAGCCACGAGCGACGACGACGACGACGACGACAACTGCGGACCAGAGTCCTATGCGGAGTCCTATGCGGATCCCTATGCGTACGGCGGCAATGCCCGGAGCGCACGGGGGGGGGGAGCGTTACGTCATAGGGGGCGAGGCGGGGGCCATGGTGCGCGTCATGCCCCAAGCAATAAAGAAACATCTCTTGTGTTGCAAGAGAGTGAAAGAGAGAGAGAGAGAACAGACGGACAGAAGAAGAGATAGACGGGGAGAGAGAGAGAGAGAGAGAGAGCGAGAGGGAGTCACTAGCGAGTCTACCCGACCCTCTATCCCTCACCCCCTTACCCCTCAACTCCTCCAGTCATCCTTCACCTCCCCTGCTTCTCCCGGTTACCCTCCCTCTCTAGACTCTCCCCTGGTTCCCTCTTCTCCCCCTCCCTCCATCCCCTCCATCCTTCCATCCCCGCCCTCTCCCCGCGCTCCCTTCCTCCTCGGAGGCTCCAATAAATGTTCCCAGCCTAGGGTGTCCACAGACTTTCCGACTATTTTGGGGGCCCTGGGCTGGGCCTTGCGAGGGGTGCTCTGAATTGAGGGATGAAAAAACGACCCTACCCTGGGTTACGAGTGCGTGGTCTGTAAACCTGGGCCTACTCGGAAAGCCTCAGGACACCTTTGGCAAGGAAATTGGGGGCCGAAAAATGGCGGACGCGCCCTGCCGCTTGCATGAATAGGCCTCCCAACTCGCGAGGCCGCCCGCATGTCACGAACGCACGCATCATGCGCTATCCTGAAACCGATGCATATTTGCAGGCGTTTTTTTTGTGTCCTGGGTTTCGACACTTGGCCGAAGAGCGGGGGAGGTGGGAGGGTATGGGTCTGGTGTGCTTAGTTCAGGGGGGCGTAAGACCCGGTACAGGGGACTCGGAAATCCCCGACGAGTTCGTCAAAAAAATTGCGAGGCCGAGCCTGCATTTTGACGAGGCCTCCCGCTGCAGACATCCCACGAAACTCCTACTCGTCAAAATCCGAGTCGCGGTCGTCAAAAAACGATGGCGAAACCGAGTCCTGGCAAAACCGGGTCTTACGCTCCCCCGATTAGTCGGTCGGGCGTGTCCCCCTGCAGGCGGATTTTGGGCGAAAAATTGAAAATACCCCCCCAAAAAAACACACCAAAATAGTCGAAAATAGTGAACAAATCCCCTGACTACTCTTTGAGTACATTTGAATATTCCCCCATGTAGAGTGACAGGCCCGACTTAACAGTAGACTGGGGGGAAAGGTCCTGAACAGTCGCCAAAAGCAGCCAAGATCTGGTCTATGGGGGGCAGAGGAGGGGGTGATGCCAGGGGGCCGCGCCGATCGGCGAAACAACGAATAAAAAAACGTCGACTGTGTGTACTCGGACGTTTTGGTTTCGCTCCTGATCTGACAGCATCCTTCCCCTGCTGCCGGCCTCCCAGATGGGGTCCGAACTGACGGGGCCGGAGGATCGCGCCGCATCGGCGACATCGGCGATGCATCGGCGACGCCAGCGTTCGGTGGCAACTCACGGGAGCCTCCCATACCATCTTGTCGACTCTTACGAATCGACGCTAATCGATGCCAGCTCGGCGCTAGTCGACGCCGAATCGACGCTAATCGACGTTTCTTCGACGCTAAAGACGGAATTGAGAGGCTACACCAGGTTCCCACGATTTACCACCGAACCAGCGTAGAGAAAATCAGCCTCCGCATCGAAAGGCATTGGCCATGCAACGGCGGTGCGGCGCGATATCCTCCGACCCCACCTGGGAGGCCCTGGACTCTGCGCTGGAAGAAGGAAAAACGCCATGAACATAAACTTTTGGAAGCTGCGCGTTGGACTTCTTGGACCTGCGCTGGACCCCCCCCTCCCTGGCGCGCTCCGCGCGCCAGGGGCGGCGCCGGAGGCGCCGCTGCGGGGGTCCAGCGCGGACCCAAGAAATCCAGCGCGGAACGCCACAAGTTTCTGTTCATGGCGTTTTGTCGGGGATGGACAGACCCCCCTTTAGCAAAACGTGGTTTAGTGAAAACGACCTGAGGCCAAAACCTGGCGGGCGCAAGCCTGGAAAATAACGGCCACGGCGCTCTTTCGAGAACCGAAAACGGACAATTCACTAATCGACGTGTCACTGTTGGGGGTTCTGTCCACCCCCGATTTTGTTGCTGTTCGATGCGCGCGGTTTTCGCGCGATGCGCTGAGCTGCCCCCGCGCCAGGCGAGGACCGGTGGGGCGGCCAAGCGCGAGGCCGCGCGCCCAGCCCCTGCCGCGCCCAAAGCCCCGCGCGCGCGCCCGGCGCGGCGGTGTCACGACCACGCGGACACCGCGCACGCCTGCCAGGGCCGCCCGAGGGATGAGTGGGACGCACGGATACATACCAATACCGCTACTGCAGGTTCGTGTCGTGTCGACCCTGGCGTTGGTTCCCAACACCGCGCTGGATCGTTCAACCTTGATCGATCGGCCGTCTCCGCAACGTCCGATCGTTCAACATCGACCGATTCTGGGCCGCCGTCGGCGTTCAACGTTGAACGTCGGCGGCGGGGTCGCCGCCGGTCGACACGACGCGAACCTACCGTACGCCGTTACAGAAGTTCGTCGCGCTTCATGAGAGCTTGAAGCTGGTATGGGTTTCGTGTCTCACTTCCGCGTGAGCGGGCGGGGGGAGTTTGGCCACCGTCCCGACCGCGCCGAGCTGGCCCCCCCTTCCCCCTAGAATCCGAGCGGACTGGGTCAAAAGCGGTCGGATCAAAGATCCGGGATTTGCAAATGGGATTTTATTCCTTACACTACTAGTATAGTTTAAACCCCGACGTAAAATCACACGGTTTTAGAAGTACCACCGGGCGGGATTTGCCCTTGCTTATGCAAGATGATCGAAGCTCAATTTATGACGAACATTTTGTAACGCCGATGAGGGATTCACTACGGCGACGCATCATCATTCACCCCATCCATCTCATCGCACGCAACCCTGCGCATCATCACGCCAGATTTCCAAGCGTTCGATGCTCGCCGCGCGGTGTCTGAAATACCGCGAGGGATCCACGACGGCGACGCATCATCATTCACCCCATCCATCTCATCGCACGCAACCCTGCGCATCATCACGCCAGATTTCCAGGGGTTCGAAACTCGCCGCGCGGTGTCTGAAATACCGCTACCCCGTTACAAAAGTTCGTCACGCTTCATGAGAGGTTGAAGACAATATGGGTTTCGTGTCTTACTTCCGCGTGAGCGGGCGGGGAGAGTTTGGCCACTGTCCCGACCGCGCCGAGCTGACCCCCCTTCCCCCCAAGAACCCTAGCAGACTGAGTCAAAAGCGGTCGGATCAAAGATCCGGGACTTTCAAATAGGATTTCATCCTTTACGATACTAGTATAGATTTGAAACGGAGACATTGAAAACCCCGACGTAAAACCACACGGTTTTAGAAGTACCACCGGGCGGGATTTGCCCTTGCTTATGCAAGATGATCGAAGCTCAATGTATGACGAAACTTTTGCATACGCCGATGTATATGCCCTCCCTGGAGGCGCGCGTCCGACCAGAACATAAAATACCCTTCTTGTAGTATATCGTTTCCCGAGCGGTGTGGCCAGAAAGCGCCCGCCACGATGCATATACTGTAATGGGGGGCGACGCACGTATAGTACGAAAATGTTCGGGTGGCGCCGATGCCAGGCCCCCCGGGGGATGAGCGGCGCGAGGGATGTCTTGTTCAGGTGGACGTACCCCAAAGATCCAACGCATGGAAAAAATCAAGACGAAGGTTCTTCACAACTTTCTGCCCCGAGGGGCCCTCGCCGGGCCCCGGGACTGTGAAAAAACGGCTCAGCATGAGAAACCGGTCCCGGGGAATGGGTCGGGACTTCCAGGGACCCCGCACTGAAAAAATCACAACATCGGATCTCGAGGTCCTGTTCTGGTGGACGGTACCCCTTCCCTCGATGGACTCGGGGGCCCGACGACCGGGCCCACGGAGGCCGCAGTCGAGGAAGACCACCGAGAGTGAAAACGTCGCGTCGCCGGAGATCTGGGCCATCGGCCCCCAGTGCCTCCTCCCTGCTCCCGCCCGAACCCCAACCCCCCCCCCGCTTAGAAATCGTGGAGGGGGGCGTCGGACTCACATGTGGTCACCGATCCTCCCCGCTCCCGCCCGGCGCGGCGCGGCGCGCCAGTAGCGCCGCCGCCGCGCCGCCCACGCCGATGGCCGGCAGCAGGCGCCAGGGCGGCTTGCCCGCGGGCCCGCCGTGGTGGGCCTCCGCGGGCAGCAGCGCGAACGGAAGCCGCCTGTGGGCTTGCGGGGGGGGGGGGGGCGCAGCGGCCGCTTTGATTTTGAAAAAAACGAAGAATAATCAAAAAACAACCTCCCAAATGATGATGAATAGTAGGAAGATCGTCTCCCGGCTATTTCTTTACTGTTTTCCAATACTCCTCCTGAGGAGGGACAGGCCCGACTTAAGACTAGCTTTCGAATTTGACCGAGGCCGTGAAAGAGATGACCGACGACGACGAAGACGACGACGACGTCGACGACGACGGCGGCGACGGCGACGGCAACGACATCGACGATGACGACCATCGCCCCCACCGCCGAGGCCGCAACAGCGAAGAGCGAGCGAGATCCCTGAGGGGAAAAGTGCAGCAAGGAGAGCGCGGTCGGGAGGCGAGTGCGATCCCCCTTTGAAGAACGGCCTGACGTCGGAGGCCGATGAGGAGGAGGAGAACGGGAGGCCGGGAGCAGGGAGTGGAGCATCGAGCGGGGAAACAACAGTAGACAGGGAGGATGGCTGGCACGGAGAATCAAGGGAAGAGGAAGAGGAAGAGGAGCATGAGCAGGACAGGAGGCGGCGGGGGCGGCGGAGGGAGGATGCAGGGAGGGAGAGAAGAGGAAGAGGAAGGAGGGAGGGAGGGGCGGCGGAGGCAGGATGCGGAGGGGTGGATGAAAGAAGGCGAACATCCGCAGACCCTGTCGGCGTGTGAGAAGCTTCTCCGTTCGAGGGTCCTCGCCGTCATTCGTTCATCGTCGTCTCTGTCGTCCTCTTCCCTTCGCTTTCCTTTCCCTGTGGCCGTCGCCGCTCCTCTATACTTTCCTGGGTTATCCTCCGCAAGCGCGTCACACAAAGCGAACTCGAACAACGTCGTCATATTTTCGAAAACAACTGTTCCCTTTGATCCCTCCCTCGCCGAGAACAGGGGGGGTCCCAGGTCAGATACGCTTCCCTTCGGTGGGCTAAGAAAACCTCCCGATGTCGTCATAAGCTCGCAGGGGAGCCCCTCCCCTTTGTTTCCTCCCCCGCCGGGGAGGGATCCTGGGTCAGATACGCTCCCCGTCCGTGGGCTTGAAAAGTTCCCAATGTCGTCGTCAAGTCGCAGGGAAGCCCCTTCCCTTGGATCCTTCCCCCGCCGAGAAAGGGGGCGTCCCTGGCCCGCACCCGAAGGGGTCATGGGTCCGGACCCGGAGGTCCCAGGTCAGATACGCTTCCTCTCCGCGGGCTCCAAAACCCCCCAATTTCGTCATGGTCTCCACAGGCCCCGCAGTGTCGCCATAGACTCGAGGGAATCAGATACGGTTCCCCTCCGTGGGCTCAAAAACCTCCCCATGTCGTCATAGTCTCGCATGGAAGCCCTAGGGGGCGGATGGTTCCAGGTCCGGACCTGGGGAGTTCCAGGTCAGATGCGCTTCCCCCCCGGGGCTCAAAAACCTCGCCATGTCGTCATAGACTCGAAAAGGTCCTTCCTTTTGACCCCTCCCCCGCCGGGAAGGGCAGGGAACCCAGGTCCAGACCGAGGGGTCTGGGTCAGGTACGCTTCCCCTCCGTGGGCTCCCGGGCCGCACAAAAATTCCTCACGCGGCAGCGCCGCATGGAGCGCGCGGGGCGGCCGGGCTGCGGGGCAGCCCCTGGCAGCGGCGCGGGGCGGCGGCGCCGCGGGCGCACCCAGCAAGCGGGGGGGGGGAGCAGCGGGTGGCAGGGGGACCAGGGCGCCCAGGCGGGGGGGCAGTGAGGGGGGCGCCAGGGGCGCACAGCGGCGGGCGGAGCAGGCCAGCACGGTGCAGCAGGCGGTGTGGGGATCGCCGGGAGGCAAGACGGCAAGGCCGTGCGGGGCGGGCGACAAAACGGCGGAGCGCCACTGGGCACTGGGCGGTGCCAGCCAAGCAGGGGCGAAAAGGCTCAGGGGCGGGGACGGAGAAGCAGTAGCCGTCCCAAGGCCGGTGCACGCATCACATCCAGGGAGAGGGCGGCGCCACGTGCAAGTGGAGCACGGGCGTGAGTAGCTGCGGAGCCTCATGAACCAGATCCGTGACTGCCATCCCGATGTCGCGTGGCCTCGCAAGAGAATTGGCCGCGTGGTTGCTCTGCTCGCCAAGACATCGGCGACGGGAGGATGAACGATGCTGCTTCACCCGGCTGCCGCGAGGAGGAAGAGGAGGAGGAGGAGGAGGAGGAGGAGGAGGAGGAGGACAAGGAAAGGACAAGGACAAGGACAAGGACAAGGACAAGGACAAGGACAAGGACAAGGACGTCGATGGGAGAGGCTGAGTGAGGCAGGGGATGGGGGAGGGTGAGAAGAAGGAGGCAGTGGGGTAGGCGAAACAAGGCAAAAATTGCAGTGGAGGATGGGGAGAAAGGGGTAGGGGAGGATAGGGAAGCTGAGAGGGACGAGGAGAGAAAGAGACATCAGCGACAAGATCAGGAGGATGACGGGGTGGCTGGATGAGGAGGGGGGGACGTGGAAAGAAGAGGCGGAGGATGAGGAAGCAGAGGAGGAAGAGATGGCGAAAGACTCGAGACGATGGAAGGGTCAGACCAGAACCAGTGGAGCTCTGGCGCCGCCTCGCTTGCGCAGGCCGCGGTGACGCCGAGCGCCGCGCAGCAGCAGAACCTGGACCGCCGAACGGCGAGCGGCGCTGCGCAGCGCTGCGGCCGAGCGCTGCGGCCGAGCGCTGCGGTGCGCTGCGGTGCGCTGCGGAGCGCTGCGGAGCGCTGCGGAGAGCTGCGGAGCGCTGCGGGGGCGGCTGCGGGGCGGCTGCGGAGGCGCAGCCGGCGACCCGCGAGGCGCCGCAACGCCGCGCGCTACGCGTCGAGGTGCGCCACGCGCGCCACCGAGGGGCCGCCGCGGGAGACGGGCGGGGTCCTCCTCGCCGCGCCGCGCCGCCCGCGCGGCCGCAGACAGGCCGGCGATGGCGAGGGGGCCCCAGAGATCCAACGCGTTGAAAAGATCAAGACGGCGGTGTTTCGCAGTCTTCGGCCCTCGACGGGCCCCAGGAACGTCAAAAAACGACTCGGGATGAACAACCGGTCCTGGGGAATGGGTCGAGACTTCCGGGGACCCCGTGTTGAAAGAAGAATGACGACGTCGGATCTCTGGGGCTGGGACCCACACCGAGACAGCCAGCTTCTCCGTTCTCTTGCACTCCGCCTCTCTGGGCCCGATCTGGGCCCTGAAGCACTCGAGCAACGAGCCAGGGCGAGAAAAGCTGGGTCACAGAGGGATGATGTCGAGAGGCCCGCGAGGGCCGCGCCACAAACAGGCCGCGGCAGCGGACGCCCGGGTCTACGATCGACCGGCGGACCAGCGCCCCGACCGAGCACTGGCCGGCGGGCGGCCAGCCCCGGAGACGGCCAGAATTCCCCTCCGCCCCCCTCTCCTCCTCCCCTGCCTCGGCCCCCCAGACCCCAGACGCCACGGAGGGAGGAGGGAGGAGGGAGGAGGTACGGGGGAGGAGGGAGGGGGAGGGGGAGGGGAAGGGGGAATGGGGGAAGGGAGGAGGAGGAGCAGGAGGAGGAGGAGGAGGTTTTTGTTCCATGGCGTGGCCCCCAGAGGTCTGGGCCACTGCTCTAGAGCTGACTGCGCCTCCCGAAGATCGCTGCTCGACGGCCCGGAGGCCAGAAGTAGCGCAAAGTCTCCGTCGGGAGCTGAACTACAGCAGGGGCCCGATCACAAGAAACCTTCCACAAGAAACCCAACCCTGAGACCCCAGGACGTCCATGGATTTTTGGCGAGGGAACGTCACGCTTTTCATCGCAAGACCATCGAAACCCAAAAAACCCAAGAAACCCAGGCCACACTGGAGGCAAGCAAGGTGTTTCTTGGCGTGGGCCTCCACTGTATGCGAGTGTATTTCGACGCTTGGGGTTTTGGCAGCATGGAGTGTCTGCACCTTCACACGGCAAGGCAAACGTTTCGCAGTTAGCCTCACGTCAGCTGCTGACACTCGTGAAGAACAAGAGTGCCAAGCAAAGATCATCAACATCACGTCTTGGTCATGGGTGGATCATTGCGGACATCTGTCACAAAACGATGGCTTCGATTGCCACTCTTCCGTCACGCACCTCAACAGATACGGGCTCGGAACCACCCTCCTCCAACCAATGAATGACTGGCATAGCGAGAGTTGTGTCGCGCCTCATCCTGGCCGATAGCCCAAGTGAGGTCTGCCTGGTCGTTTGTGGGGCAACTTCCTTCTTGCCGAACGGTATCAGAGCGCGTCCGAGTAAACGCAATGCAGCGTTCCCTTCGCCCTTCAAGCCCTCCTCGATCGCCGCCTGTCGCATCCGAGGTGCATCCCGCCTCAAGTCAAGACTGTGCCCGGGAAGGCTCAAACTCAGGCCACCACTGCGATCCAATGTGGAATTTGGTTTCACTGCCCCGAGGGCGACTGAATTCTGGGCATGCAATAGTTTTCCTCTTGTGCGCGGATGGCTACGCGCAGGAGGTGGGGTGGTTCACCATGCACAAGCAACTCCAAACACATATTCGCAAATGATCCGACAGAAGCATGCTCCGCGAGCCCAGCCGACCACCAGCGCTCACGATCCGACGCCGAAGCGTTTTGAATAGCCCGCCGTGCGTCGCCAATAGGAGCAGGTAGACGATGCTCGATTGCGAAGGACCCCGTGGTTTACGGAAAAAAATCGCTCGGGTACCCAGCCAGGCGCATCGCTTCTGAGACGAGCACTCGCTGCATCCAATGTTTTTAAAAGCTCGTGGTATTGACAGGACCGCTCGTGCACTCTGCATCACCCCAGACACAATTACTGTCAAGGTCCCCCTGGATGACAGCATCGCTGGATTATTCCGGCAAAGCAACCTAACAGCGATGTGTTGGAGCATATCTGGAAACATTGCCTGTGGTATTCATGTAAGAGTGCTGTTGTAGAATTCTGGTGTCCTCGCAGCCGCATTCGGATTCGCAGTGGCAGTCGCAGAGGCAACATCAGCGGCAGTCGCAATGGCACTGCCAGTAGTTGCAGTAGCAATAGCTACACTAGCAGCAGCGACAGCAG